TTCAATTCTGCCCCATACGCATGGTACCCTTCCTTTTGAGTTGCCTCTCCACTTTTATAGCCATATGCACCATGTCATCTAACTCTACCTAATGTTGTAATTTTACCACATTTGCAATGTCCCGATTTAAGCCAAGCAAAAATCTGGCCATAGTAGCTTCACGATCTTCATCTACATTGGCTCGAATCATGGCTGTCTCCATCTCTGTGAAATAGTCTTCAACACTTTTAAAACCTTGTGTGAGACTTTGTAATTTCTGAAACAAGTCCCTATGGTAGTGACTTGGAATAAATCGTCTTCTCATGACAACTTTCATTTCCTCCCTTCTTTCAATAGGTCTTTCACCATGTCTCCTCCTGTTTGACACAAATTGATCCCACCAAACAATAGCATAATCAGAAAATTCTATGGCAGCCAATTTTACCTTTTTCAACTTAGAGTAGTTATGACAATCAAACACCAACTCCATCTTTCTTTCCCACTCCAAGTAAGCTTCTGGATCATTTCTTCCTTGGAAGGACTGAATCTTCATCTTGATACTTCCTAGGTTATTATCAACCCTTTCTTCATTACGCACTCTTCTTCCTTCATTTCGACGTTCATGCTGCCTCATATCAACTGTAGAATTAGTGTCATCTTCATGTTGATGTTCCGAGGTTCTCAGTTGTGGCTCCCTTTGTTCAACTCTTTCTATTCTATCTTGCATTTCATCGAACCTGAAGTTCAATCTTTCAAATCTCTGTGTCATGGCTTCAAAGTAGAATTTGAAATCTTTAGGAATTTGAGCATCACCCTCTTGAGACATTTTATTTAATCTGCAAAAACAAAAGTTGAAATATCCTCACAAACACACCGTCACGTGTTTCTCTCCCAATTAACAACTCTCACACTCGTGTTTCAAAATTAGGCTTTTACCCTCTTATAAGCTCACACACTCTTGCCTTTTTCCCTATTTTGAATTCCCTCTTTTAGTTTTTAGCTGAACTCAATTGAAGTTTTCTTGAAGAAATCCAAACAGATCACAAGATGTAATACAAAGAGACAAGAAGAACAAGATAATATTTTTCTGATGTCAAGAATTAGGGGTAAAGAAAGGTTGGAATGACAATAAATTTAAGCAATAACTGAAATTAAGTAAGAAGGAAAGTGCACACTGGAATAGAAAAGAACAAAACTGAAAATAATTTAAAGAGACAAGTTTTACTTCAAGGAATTTGGATCAGATTTTTTTTTCATTTTTTTATTTTTTATTTTTTTTGGCTTCTGAAGATACTAAGATGTTTTTTTTTTTGAACAGTACCAATGGGAATATTTGACACAAGAAGGAGAATGAAATAGAAATAAAAAAAGGTTAACAATAAAATAAAAGGATAGATCAAACCTGATTTAGAAGACTAGCTCTGATACCAAATGATATGAACCTCACTAAGAATAGTGAGACCCAAGACCAATTTAGTTAGGATCGTTTCTACAATCAGGAATTTAAAACAAGAAATAAAGAACCTTGACCCGTTATCTATGGAAGATATGAACCAAAGGTATAAGAAGGATAAAGACGCCAAGGTGAGTGATAAGTCTGGTTTGAACGCCACAAGAACAAACTTCCTGATAAGTTCAGAGTTCTAGATAATAACCAAAGAGAAGAAACCTCTCTATTATATTATAACTTCAAAATCTGATTACAAGAGTTATTTTCTCTATTATTTATACTTGGAACATCCCTCCAAGAATAGGAAAAGACTGGCAAATGAAAAGACACTAATTTAAAGTTGACAACATGGAAAAAAAGAAAAACACTCTAATCAGCTCACTAAACATTAATGACATTGGAAATGTAAATCAACCCCACTAAGCATTAATAACATTGAAAATGCTATCAGCTCCACTAAGCATTTAATTGACATTGAAAATTGCTACTCATTCCGCTCAACCTCCCTTGCATTGATGGCATTAACTAAATTTTGATCATGAATAAATTTGGATTTGATGTCTTCATGATTAGCCCACATTTGCTGGATCAACCCACTAAGAGCTTCTTTAAACTTCTTGGCCCTTGATCTTGTTATTGGCCCATTTGGCAATTGCAATGGATCACTAGGTGTTGTCTCCTTATTCATTTCAGTTACTACTTGTGTAAAGGCTTGTAATGAAACTTTAAGTTATTTTCCTATCATAGTCAGTTTACACCAAGGTTCTGTATTGAGTCCTTACCTTTGTGCCGTTGTGTATGATATTTGCAGGTGATATTGTGTTTAGTGATGAGAATAAGACTGGTGTTGACAAAAAATTATAATTTAGGAGAAACATGTTAGAGTCTAAAGGATTTAAGTTAAGTTGGAATAAGATTGAGTATATGATGTGAGTTTACCACAACAAGAGATGGAGAACAAGATCTTGTACATATGCTAGGACATGAGGTACCCAAGATATGTAGGATCAATATTGCAAAAAGGGGAAGAGATTAATGAGATGTCAACCATAGAATCAAGGCAAGTTGGATGAAATAGTGCGGTGCATAAGAGTTTTTGTGTGATCACAAAATCCCTTTAAGACTAAAAGGAAAATTTTGTAGAACATGAGTAAGGCCTGCAATGTTATACGAAATTGAATGTTGGCCCGCAAATAAGCAACATGAACATAAAAGGAGAGTAGCAAAAATGAGATATGTGGTCATACAAGGATTGATAACATAAAAAATGAAGATATTCGACGAAAGGTAGGTGTTGTACATATGACTGAAAAGATGACAAAACATTGATTTAGATGGTTTGGGCATATTGTTCGAAGATTCCTAGATGCTCCCATAAGAACAAAAATTTGTTACTAAGAACATGACACAAAAAGAGTAAGCGGTTAACCGACACTTACTTAGGAGATAGTGGTAAGACTTAATGGAATGAAAAATAGATTTATAATGTACTTAGGATAGAGTGGAGAAAGTAGGGTAGACTTGTTTTTTTTCCTATGTTCCAGATGACCATTTTTAGTTCTTGTTCCCTATGTTTATTCATTTATTGATTTATCTTTCTGATGTGGGACTCCGCACAAAAGTCCCCTTAATCAGATCTTCTAAGTCAGGTTTAGGATAGATAAAGCGTGAAACCCCTCAGACCTCGACCTTTGATGAGACAAGAACCCTGGTGGTTGTCACTAGAGCTGTCAAATAGGGCCATGGCCCGTGGGACAATCCATTTAGCCTTGCATCTAGCCCTATCAAATTTCAGCCCCGTATGTTGGGGGCCTTTTTCAGCCCCAGTCCTATATAGCCCCATCATTTATTGGGTAGGGTTGGGCTAACCCGCGGGCAGCCCCATATGAATTAGGTTTCTTTCACTTTTATTCCATTCCTCCGCCGCCTGTCTCTTTGCTACACCCACACTTCCATTATTCCAGACCTGGTTCCAAGAATGCAACCATGGCTGACTTCTCCAACTGCGCCGTCAATACTGCCACCGACCAGAGTCGCCGACCCCCGCCGCCGCAACTCCATTGCCACCACATCCATGGTGGCATCCAACAAACTCTCCCTCCTAGCAACGCCCCCTTCTCCTCCTACACATCCCTTAGAGACATGCTCCCTTCCCCCAACGCCGCCACTTCCCCCGCCGCCTGCGCCATCAACTCCGACTCTGAGATCCCCATCCGCAACCACCTAGTTAAGCAAGCTGTTTGGGTTTATTTAATTTATTTTATATATAAATTTTATTTTATAAATTTATTTAAATTGAGGATAAAATAAATTTATATGCGAGTCGATAATTTTCAGCCTAAAAATCTTCTTTTTTGATGTGAGTCGATAATTTACAAGAGCGACATGAATAACAACTAATATTCTTATTAAACAGAGTGCAAGGCAATTTATTAATCCAAATTTCTATGTTCAGTTTTGATTTGCGCTGATTATTATTTGAGGTTTTGTTTAAATTAGATAAATTCAGTTCAAACTGTTTTTGAATATATCTATCTGAAAGTTGAAACATACTAGACAATATTTCTTAATCTTTTAATTAATTATTTTTTGGCCCGCGGGCTGGCCCTAATCCATGGGGCCATACAGGTTTTTTGGCCCGTGTGGGCTTTTGTGTTTGTGGGTTTTTTAGCCCTACGGGCCTTTTGGCCCTAGCCCGTGTTGGTTAGGGGCTTAACGGGCTGGGGTGGCCTGTTTTGACAGCTCTAGTTGTCACAAAGACCCTTACTCGTAAGAGGAACAAGAACCGATGTCCTAAGGTATGTTACCACAACCAAGCTCACAACTTGATTGATAAGACTTCAGTTTACTGGTAGCTAGCCAATGCAAACCTAACTCAAAGGAAGAGTACTCTCTTGCCAAGGAACCAGCCCTTAAATTTGAGAATGATTCTCAGCCAAGCTCACAACTTGATTGATAAGACTCTTCAGTTTACTGGTAGCTAGCCAATGCAAACCTAACTCAAAGGAAGAGTACTCTCTTGCCAAGGAACCAGCCCTTAAATTTGAGAATGATTCTCTACTAAACACTCACAAAAAACATTGCCTGCCTATCTTCTAAGAGCTTATTAAAAAAAAGTTTGTTTAAGATTTATTTCATAATGGCTGCCATAGCTCTCGTAATCTCTCTTTTATTTCGTAACGGCAGGAATAACTCTTATAACCTCCCTTTTATTGTTGTTGAAGTGTATTCTTACGGGAAGACCTTCCATATGACTGGTTCTTAAACAAGAAAGTATGCGCCCAACCCAAGTCAATCATGTAATGATGAATTTAATGTTTTCAAATTTTAATGACATAAATGTATATCTTAGATATGCAACAACTTCTAATTGTTCTAGTTATGGTTTTATTTTGCATCTTACAGTAGAGGCAATGTTATTTAATTAAGAATGTTTATTTTTATTTTATTTTTGGATACAACTAAGAATGTTTATTAGATACCTTGCATTTGACACGAATTCTTATTGATTTTACTTTAAGATTCGCATAATTTATTGGCTGACATTCCTTCTTACTTCAAAGCAGGTATAATTTGCTTAACTTAATAGATCACTTCCACAGTAGAGGTCTTTATCGTTCCCTATTTGTAAGGTACACAATTCATTCATCTTCATGTAGTTAATGTTTAGGTGATACGTGACTCTCTGTGTTTCATTGTGTTAGACTTTCAAATGACAGCTTTTATCTTACAGCATAATGGAAGGGGAGGAATCCCTACGACGGTTCTCTCCAGAATTGATGGTTCAAGATCCAAACATTGTAAATGCTGTTTCTCTACTACCACCTGTAGTTCTTTTTCATGGCACTGGAGATTATTCCATACCATCGGATGCCAGGTTTGATCCTCTTTTAACAGAGTTTTTAAATTATGTAGTAACAATAGAAAACGGGAATTTATATTGATTGGCCCATGAATTTTTATGGTTTTTAGTTTTGTTTACGGTTAATTGTTTGGGAGTGCAGGGAGTGTTAATTGTATTAAGCAATATTAAAACGCAAAGCTTTGTGTAATGGCTAAAAGATCTTAGTCAGCGATGACCAACTTAATTTAACTTAAAGTATTGATGATCACGTCAAAGAAACAAAGGGACAGACAACAACCTGTGCAGCTTGAAACAAGATTTTCAGCAAGATGAGAGAGTTAAATTCTCTAGTTTAAGTCACAAACAACATGAAAATGATGTAATGATAATGAGGTCTGTCATCAACTTGTAAATAAGCTCAGAAATAAATAAGGATAAGTTTAGCAAAGATGACATTGTGATTTATAGTTTTAGATTCAACCATCTGATTTTATTTCCTCTGCCCGAGCTCAGAGTAGAAACTACACAATCACAACAGTTGCAGTTGATTGCAAGGTTTTTGTTTGTGTGTATACCCAGCTAACGTTCAGCTTTTGCTCCAAAAACTTAGAAAATTTCCTGTTTTTCCTCATGAAAAAAAGTACTCAACCTCATGACTGTTATGCTGACTAGCACCCAATCTTTCCCTAGTACAAAAGCTTGCATGTCATGAGAGGTCTTTATCAAGAGTTATTAACTGTATGGTAGCCCAATAAATTTATAGTTCACTTAGAGAAAGATGGTTGGTAAGATGATGGGATGATGTTCAATTCTGTTCAAGAACTTGTGATTAATTCTGGCTGTAATGTGCTTCTATCAAAAAGGTTTGGTTTCAATAAATGCCGTTCATCCCATTCACCATCTGGAAAACAGTTTCAGCTGATGTGTCAGCTCTTCTGCTCTCACAGCATGGTTCTTTTCTTTTGTATCTGGTTTCTTGCTTTATCTCCATGATTCATTCTCAGCTGTTTATAACAAGAATAGAACATCTCCAATCATAAATATGAATAACTTGCTTTCTTTATACCATGTTAGTTTGGTTAGTATCAATATGTTTATATTATAAATGTGTTGTTATTAAACATTAAAATTGTCACGAACCAACTTTCTCAAAAGTTTAAGCTTTTAGGTAAAGGAACATTAATGGTTTTTATATTATATCTCTAACACGCTCTCTGACTCTGACGCAAAAATAATTTGGGCTGGAAAGGACTTGAAGGGTGGACAATGGATAGATCCACCTATTCTGTGCTAAGATACCATGTCATGAAACAGCTTTCCTAAAAGTTTAAGTTGTCAGGTGAAGACACATGAATGATTTTTATGTTATATTTCTAACAAAAGTAATTCATATTGAGCATTCAGAAATCGTAGGGATTTTCAATGGTTTCTGACAAACTCTTGAGATTTAACAAGTCATCCTTAAATTATGTGGTTGTTTTAAGATGTTCTTAGATATGATTGCATCTCATATTGGATTATTTGCTGTAGGTACATAAATGCGATATGATGCTACTTGTTCTTTGAGGGTTTTCTTTGATGATTTGTGTGAGATTTAGGTTGGCACTAACACTTTGCGATCTGTTTTGTCAAGTCCCAAAGTGGAGAAAGATCCAAAATAAAAGGAGTTAAAATAATCCTAATCGGGGACTATATATTACCAACCTACAGTATAAGTTTGTGTTATCGAATTTGAGATTCAAGACTGATAAAGTGCAAGGCTGGAAATACGTAATGGTAACATAAAATTATATTTTAATGCTTTGTTTATGTTGAGATATATAAAACCATTAATGTAGCCTCACTCAACAGCTTAAGCTTTTGGGTTGAATTAGTTCTTTACATGGTATCAGAGCCTCGGTGCACCGGGTTCGATCCTCACCGCCTCCCACTTTCTTTCTAGTGAAATTTCTTTCTTCGCACAGGTAGGTGAGCCTGCGTATTGTCCACCATTCAAGCCCAATAGGCTCTCGTGTGAGGAGGCGTGTTGAGATATATAAAACCATTAATGTAGCCTCACCCAAAAGCTTAAGCTTTTAGGTTGAATTGGTTCTTTACAGTTTAGGAGTGACAAAGTTGTGAAATACTAATGCTGTCATCTAACCAGATGCCTGGAATTAATTGAAAGGTAACAAAGATTAAAGGAAGAATAATCTTCTTTAGCTCTAAATTTCGTTAATGAACTCTTGAAATCATGACTTTTTGAATAGGTTAAATTTAATTCCGTGCATCTTTTGTTTTTACATGGGTTAAGGTAGGCTTTAAGACTATATTAGCCTAACCCTCCAGAGTCGCAAGGTGGTAGGGGAGGCATACAACTTAAAGAGAATTATCATTTGAAGTATAACTGCTTCACTCTCTTTCTGATCTGAAGCATTTCTTTCAAAATTTCCTCGTAATGTGATTAGCATATTGTTTTGTACAGTACATCATTTGCTGAAACTCTCAAAAGAGTTGGAGTCAAAGCTGAATCAATTTTGTACGAAGGGAAGACTCATACAGATGTGTTTCTACAGGTAATTGACCCCTCTACTTCTCATTGGTAGGCTTTGTTAAGTCTTTTCCTTTTGACTGCTGAGACAACTGTATATCATTTTCTGTCTAAAATGCAGATTTTGTTTTTCATTTTAACTTCTATTTCAATTCTATACTACTTTTTAACAATAATATATGACATAAAAAATATAAGGAATATAAATATCTTCAAAAGAATTGATACATACATTTAACTCGTTCAGCTTTTGCCATATTAGAGAAAGCTTAAGCTATTCTCTAATATGCCAACTTTACTTGCAACTTCAAACTTTTGTAACTTATCTAAGGTTATGGAATCATCTTTTCCACGAAAAGTCGCTTATTCTCTTGAACCTAATATTATTACTAGCTTAATACTAAAATATATATATATATATATATATATATATATATATATATATATATTATTACTAGCTTAAAGTCAAAGATATGATGATTGGTTAACTTGTCAATGTATGAATGCATAGTGCACTATCTATATATATATTACTCTTCATTTTCACTCCTCACAGCATTTTTTTAGGTAATTTAGCTTACTGATAAATTCTCTCACGGAGTGATGCTTACTAATTTTTCTGTGAAAAGATTTCTCAAGGATGATTAAACCTTGTTTTCAAGTAGCCATTTATGTCAAAAGCCTATGCCTTTCAGGATCCCATGAGGGGTGGCCAAGATGATATGTTTGATGATTTGGTAGCATATATTCACTCCGGTGATGCTGAGGCCCGTGCTAGAGACGAAATGGCTCCTCCAAGGAGACGCCTTGTACCCGAATGCATGTTAAAATTGGCTCATAGCGTCAGTCCCTTCTAGCCAGCAAGTAGAATCAAATAACTTCCACAGTTTATTTTTTATTTTTATTTTTTTCTGTATATAACCATTATTGTGGCCCTGCAAGATGACTTTCAAACATGATAGGTTTACCGGTCTCGAAGGCTACGAATTATTCCATTAGTATATGAGGATTTAACATTTTACACAACTAGACTCATATTTTGGTTGTCAGGAAATCGGATATTCAAGTGGTGTTTAAAACATAAGTTATGCAAAACAAGAATATATGAATGACAAACTATGATGAAGTATGCAATTAACGAAATATAAAAAAAATATGCAAAAACGGATGTCAGATAACCAAAAACATGCAATGACTAAGGAAAGTATGAATCCGAACCCAATGTTGGGCGCTAAATTCTTAAGGCGATTTGATTTTTCCATCTTTGCAGTGTGCCTAAGAATTATGGACAAGCACCTCCCAAGATCGAACGAGTACCTTTGTTTTGGCACTTGAACAATCCACGAAAAAAAAATGTTGAATCAAGAATGCAAAATGGCAAAGGACCAAGGATCACCTAGATCTTTTACCCTTTAGAGAATTGGGATGCCCCAAGGAGCCATATAGGGAAGCCAAACTAAGCTTTATAAACCCTTGAGATTCCTTATAGTTATTCAATTTGGGCCTTCTTCTTACACACTCCTCTTCTTCAACTTTCAACTTAACTCTTATCCATAACAACTTCTATATCAATCCCCTATATGAATAAAAAGTTCAATCTTTGTGACTATTCATAAGCTACTAGGCTAGAATGTAATGTGCAATTGATTAAAGAGCAACAATTGCATTGAGATAGGTGGATGAAATGTCTTGTAACCGTCCCTAGTGAAACCTATCGAGTTTACTCGATCAATTAGTGGACGCGATGACTTGTAACCCAACCCTATGAGGAAGCAGTGTTATAGCATCTTGGTTCTAGCCTGAGTATCTTATCTTCTATCTCCTAAAAGAGTAAGTCCTTATTTATATTCTTTCTATTCCTAGTATTCAGACCTTTTATATATTTTAATTTATGCATTTTTATATGATATTTTCAACTTTAGAGCATATAAACTAAGACAATAGGAAACATATAATTGTTTTTCAAATGTAGTTGGCCCTTTATTTGTGTCCATTTTGGTCTTGAACCCCCCTTGGTTCACCAGAGCTTTAGAGAATATGACCTTGACTATTCTCACAGAAGCGACCCACACTTCACTCTCTCAGATAATTCCTGGTGGTGTACCTCAACATACATCGTCTAAACACATAAGGCTCAGAAATCATTAAAAGCCTCCTTGCTTACTCTATATTTATGCAATGCCTTGTATAGGAATGAGTGTAAGTTTTGAAAACTCCACAGTGCTCATCCTTAATCATCACTTGGTTGTCTCTTTGAACCTAGTTCATGGGATCTCCACTCTGTTGGGTAGAGTGTCCACAATGATTAATCTTTTGGTGGCCTTAAACTCATTCCTCTCGACAAACTATACACTAACTCTTTAGTCACCCCTTTAGTTAACGGATCCATAATATTTTCCTTTGACTTTACATAGTCAATTGTAATAATTCAACTTAAGAGCAATTGCCTTAGAGTATCGTGCCTTCGACGTATATGTCTAAACTTACCATTGTACATAACATTCCTTGCTCTGCCAAGTGCAGCTTGACTATCACAATGTATACATACAGTTGGAACTGTTGGACAAGTGTCCTCAAACTCAAGAGGGGGGTGAATTGAGTTTAAAAAATATTTTCGCAAAAATGCCTCTCTTTCTTGAAAAATGAATTTCTTGAGTTTATATGATTTGACACAAGAAAAGTCTAAAGAATAAAAATTAACACGAGCAAATAATGATAAGGAGTTAGAGAGATTGCAAACAAGATATATCTTGGTTCGGTTACTACCACCGTGACCTACGTCCAGATTGAAGCCGCTCAATCAACTTTTCACTAATGGTCAAGCTTCACGAGTGCTTGACAAACTACTAGAACCTTCAAGAGTTTTGATTCTTGAAACCTTTTACACTTCCACTCACTTTCTTAGGCTACGAGCAACCTTTTCAGTAGGGTCTCACTACCCTCAACTCAAATAAACAGAAGGAGAGTGTTTAGAGATGGATTTGTACTCTTAAAGTACAGATTATATAAGTTGAAGCTTATGGGTATTGATCAATGACACAAGAATGAAGCTCAAAGGAGTTTTATGATCAATATGAGTAAGAACAAGCAATGAATGTGTTCGATTCAATGAGAATAATTAAGAATGATTGTAAAATCAATGGAACAGTGATTCCTTTTCTTCCGAGTCGCAATAAATGATTGGTATGAAACTAGTCATTTATAGCCGTTGGAATGCTTATTGCCCAGTAAGTATTCGAATACTTTTCGTGAAGTATTCGAATACTTCATCAAGTATTTTAATACTTTTCATAAGGTATTCAAATACTTTGTTCTCAGAACAAGTATTCGAATACTTTCTTGACAGAACTTAAGTATTACAGTTTTTGAGTTGCAAAGCATTCAAATCTTGTCTCTAATCACTTTTAGTGCAATTTCTTGACTTGATAAAATTGTTTTGAGGTTACGAAATGTGTCAAGGGTCTTTTTCATGAGTTATTAAAAAAACTTTCAAGCGATTAGTGACATGGATAATGCATGCACATGATTAAGTATCCTTTGAGCTCATTTATGCACCATTAATCAATTACATTTACATTTAGATGCTTCCCAAGGATATACTACAATCTTGATCTTTGATCTTGATCATGTGAGTTGATGGTTTGCTTCTGTTGTCTTGTTGAATTGATTTTTTTGACCTTTTGATTGTTGTGAGTTATATTATCGTTGAAGTTGCTTCTAAGCTTATTTGTTATCATCAAAACTCTTGTATAATTGAACTCTTCATGTTGAGTGCATTGGTTTCACAATCTCCCCCTTTTGATGATGACAAACTAAAATTGAGAAGGAGGGTTAGCTTAGTGTGAATTTTGGCAATATGGTACTAAGACTCCCCCTTAATATGTGGGTAATTGAAAGAATTGAAAAATCAGAGTCTAGATTTAATTTTACCTTGTTTTTACCTTTCATGTTTATGCTCCCCTTTTTTACCTTAGTCTATACCCTCTTTGAAGTAGTGGGAGAGTTGTGCATGTTTTTCTCAATTTGCATATTCTTTTCCCCCTTTGGCAACATAAAAAAGATAAAGACAATCCAAAGCAAAAAAAATGATAATATCAAGTGCAGAATGTCATAAAACAGAGAAAGCCATAAGCATCTAGAATAGAGAAAATGGCAACATCCAACCACAAAAAAAAATCCAACAGGAAAAGTCAGCAAGATAAAAGAACTCATCATAAATAAGTCTCATCATAATAATAAAAATCCAAAAGGAGAGTGACTGCTAGTGTTAGATCTCAGGCGAGTCATCAGCAGGAAGGTCCTCATCAGAGTCAGAAATGCCAAGATGCTCCTCTACACGCGTGAGATGCTGACCAATAGTGTAATTTAACACCAGATACTCCATCACATCTGTCATAGTGTAAGGATGGCGGTCACCCTCAACTGGAGGAATCTTAGGAATAAGGGGATCCTCAGCAGCAGTCGCAGTTGCAGGCATATCAGTAGCCTGAGGAGGAGCATCCTCATCCATAGGATCAGCAGCAGGAGCAATGGATGAGTAGACCCGCTCACCAGCAACCTGTCGAACTCCACACTTTTTCAGCTGGGTGCTCACAATCTTGTGATTATCTTTCGGTTAGGTCTTTACCTCCCAAATCATATGAACCTGACTATACTCTATGATAGCCTGAACGAGCATGGGATGTGGAAGTGGAGAAGTTTGATGGTAATGTGCAGTAAGCATGATACAACAAATAGTGTCAGGCCAATAGATTTTCTCTCTGTGAAGAATAGCCAACATAAAAAACAAATCAGTATTAAGAACTAGAGCATGATTGCCTTCACGATGTGAGATGGCATGAGTGATAAGATAATGCAAAATCCTGTGAGGCACAGTCAGACAAAGAGGAGAGAACTTGGTCGTGTCGGGTTTGTAAACACCCTCTCTAACAATAGTCTAGATAAAATCCTCTCTGTGATACTCCTCATAGGCTCTGTAATCAGATCCATCAAACTCTAAGTCCCTAAAGCGAACAAATCTAATCAAATTTGTCCAGTCTTGCGGATATATCTTAATCGTGACTCCCTTAACCATGGAGGTCAGCACACGATAATTGTAGATCAGATTTTGATAAAAGGACCGAACCATGAACTCAACATATTGGCAATGAAGCTCAACAAACCCAAGCAAGAGAACTCTGCGAAGAATCCCAGTAATATCAAATTCTTGCTCCTCAAAAAATGCAGAATCAAGATACTTAGGCTCAATGATGCGCCTACGCAGATACTGAGAAGCAAATTTCTTCTGTTGATCACGATCATCAGGAAAGTATTTAGTGAACTTCTATCATTGATACAAATTGGTAATAAAACATTATGACAAGGAAAAGCTTGATTCATAGGGAAAAGAAAAGACAAAAGTTGGAACTAAAATATCATTTGATTCGCCAATCCTTAAAAAAATAAATAAGCAAAACTCTGAAGCCTCAGCTGTAGGAAGATCAGACATGGTCTTGGAGCGAGTCTAACGATGAGGAGTAGATGAGCTATTAATAACAGGCAGCCCCACAGACCTGGCAGCACTAACATGGTGACTGCCACTGTACCATCCCTGGCGTTGACGAGGGAGGAGAGTGATCACCGGTGCACAAGGGCATGGTGCGCAAGGGCACAGACAAGGAACGGCTCCTGGCAGGCTTCTAGCGGCCGGGGTACATAAATGAATCGAATCAACACCTGAAATAGAGAGATTTCATAGACTGTGCAGTATAGGACGGTACAGTTGAGGATAGCTTATAAGAATTAATTGGTACTACCTATACTAACAAGATGCATCTACTTTTCGGTAGCCCAGAACAGAAGAACTCCATAGTTAAGCGTGCTTGACTTGGAGCAATTCTGGGATTGTGACCTCATGGGAAGTTTTCCCAGGAAGTGTGTGAGTGAGGAAAAAGCACACTGAAAAGTCTTGTGTTAGTATGTGGGGATAGTCATTGATTCTTGAAACGGCCGGGCGTTACAAGTGGTATCAGAGCAGGCCTCTCTTCTAGTACGGTGTGGTTCGAGGACGAACCAGGCGGAAGATGGTGGGCATGTAACATCCCG